GAACTCTTTGTAACCTATCATATTGAGACTGTGGCAGACCATAAAACAATGAGTTACAGTAGTCCAGGTGTGAAGTAACAAAAGCATGAACCAAAATCTTTGTTGTATCTTCTGAAAGGAATTTCCTTATCTGCCGGATATTATAGAGGCCGCGAAACGCCTTACTACACACTTTTCCGATGTGAATATCCATCGACATATGTGAGTCAAACCACATTCCGAGGCTTTGAACCACCTCCACAGGCTCGATCGTAGATTCACCAACTGTAATTTCATTGATGTTAATCTTTGACATTTGCTGCTTTGAACCGATGATAATAAATTCAGTCTTGGAATCATTTATCAAGAGACGGTTAGAAAGCATTCAGGCACGAATGTCAGCAACACAGTTTTCAATACTCTTTAGTGCAGCATCTTGTGATAAAGATGTATCCGGCCGAAACGAATGATAAATCTGGGTGTCATCTGCATACGTATGTGCATTGGGAAGATGTTTGTCAATAACCTTAAATAACCCAGCCACCTGGGTGGCAGCCTCTTTGGACCACTCTTCCCGAAGCATCGAAATCGTGCCATGAATTGATCCACTGCAGCTGTAAGAAAGGGTGCACTGGACGCTGCAAATGTGTCAAAGCTGCTCTAAAGTGCACAGCACTGTGTGTCTGCTCTGGAGACTGTTAGATTTCGACAATTGTGATGCATCACTTCTTGTTATGTATAGTAAATAGTTATTTTAAAGTTTCAGGTGCTATATTTTTGGAAAAATAAACGTTTGAAAGTGCCAATGGACTCCTTTCAATTAGATGACATTAAATAAATATTTAACATAGATTGATTGACCTTGACATAACTGTGTGTTATTCCGTGCATACTGTCTTAAACGTATCACCAATTGGACGTGTATCCATAATTTTATCATACAAACACACCTAATATGTTTTTCTACACTGCTTGGTTCCAAATTTTAGCGTGATTGGTGCGATTACGTCATGAGAAATGGCGGCCATCTTGGATTGACCTTACACGGTCCCCAAGGTCAAACCTGACTTCCCTCCACATCTGAAAATAAAGCTTATGGTATGCACTAACTATGTTAGTAATTTCATGCTTTTCTCAAAAAACGCACAATTATTATAGTTACCCGCTGCACTATAGCAATAATCGAAAGAATGGAAATCGGTCTATAATTGCCTCGATTTTTTTTGTCAGCAGATTTATGAATTGGAGAAATTCTTGCAGTCTTAAAATCATCAGGGAAAATTCCTTGTTTGAGTGAAGTATTAAAAATAAATACTAAAAAAGGCGCCACGGCTTCACTCGCATCTTTCAAAAGTTTGGCTAGGATATTATCATGTCCAGTTGACTTAGACGTCTTTAATTTCTCCAGTGCATTTAACACTTCATTGATATTAATGTTTTCGAAATTGAACTTATGTTGAGTTTTAAATTTCATATAATGTTTAAAATCTGTGTTAGTTTCCGTGATCTGGTTCGACAGATTTGGTCCTATATCAGTAAAATATTCATTGAACAAATCAGCTATAGTTTCATTTTCAATAATAACCTGTTCGTCTATTTGTAGTACTGCTTTATTTGTTGATCTAGAATTTTTATTAACTAACTGATTAATATGTTTCCACATTTTGCTTTGTATTATTTCTGTTTCTGTCAACACAGTTTGTGTAATAATCTCGCTTTCCATACATAATTTTTTTGTTAATCTCATTGCGAAGACTTTTGTAAGCATTGTGGCATGCAGTTGAGTTTGTCTTAATAGCTTTCTTCTTGAGATAATCTCGGCGATTCATACTTTTCTTAATTGCATCAGTCAGCCACGGTGCCTTTCTGTTTCTAACTTTACGGCTTTGAAGTGGAGCATGAATGTCAGCAACATAATTGAATGTTGTTTGAAAGTTCTCCCAAAGCATATTTGGACCATTTATCTCCCAATTTAAATTTAATAAAGCATGGTATAAGTCATGGTTAAAATTTTGCTGTATGTAGTTTTTAAAATTTCTTGACTCAACAAATTTGGGAAATTTTTTACAAGCGAAATTTTTCTACAAACGTAGATCAAGCTATGGTCACTTATTCCAATGTGCAATACTCCTGAGTGCGAAATCTTTTCAGGATTGTTTACAAGAGAAGCTGTTTTTTCGGTAATTCGTGTAGCCTGATCAATCAACTGTGTCAGCTGGAATATATTAACTATATCATTAAAATGTTTAGTGTGATTGCTTAAATTGTTGGATAAAAAATCACAATTTAAATCGCCAACGATAATTAGTTCTTTATGTTCGTTGTCAAGGTTTTGCAATAATACTTCAATTTTATCAAGGAATTCAATTTGCGAATTCGGTGGCCTATATGCAGATGCAATTAAGCCTCAACATCCTCTGGGACTAAATCATCTCTATCAATTACGTTCAAAATACTGCGATGGTAAATTGCAACACCGCCTCCTTGCCGATTACGATTTTTGGCAACCATGTCGTAACCGGGTATACTAACAGTATCTGTACAAATTGTTTCATCCAATCGAGTTTCGTTAATGCTCAAAACATCGAGTGGTTCTTTTTCCAAGTATATTTTTAAACGAAAACCTCCGTATCGCACAAATTGTTAATGGCGAAGCTCTATAACAAATTGCCAGTCTGTCCACCCCAAGGAACAGCTTTTCTAAGCAAATAACTTGCTTCGGCTTCAAAAGAACGTTTGAATGGAAACTTTTTATAATGGAGAAATGTAGATAAGCCAAGAAAATCATACATTTCGAATCTTTTTGCATCTTGCAGTTGATTCACAGTCATATAGGGCTACTTCGGTCGCTCGACTGCACTCCTTTTAAATACAAAAATTAACCGGAAGTTCTAAATTACAAAATATCACATTTCAAACACCCCTCCCTAAGGACCTCATTTGGCGCTAATTTCTAGGGGTTCACGTGACCAGCTTCAACCAGGGTCTTTCCCGTAGCCCAAGCGCAGGTAAAGAGCCTGGCTTGCGAGGTTGATGTATAGTAGCCAATTAACTTAATCACTTAGCCGATTCTGTTTACCAAACTCCAAAGGAAAAACATTAACTTTTAACGTCTGGA